CTTGCCCACAGACATAATAAAAACATGCAACCAGACTGTCCGCTCGCGGATTATGGAATTACACATGCATAGTCTGTACTGTCTCGCACTGTCTAGAAAACTCGTTGGCGGAAGCATCCGAAATACGAATACATAACATGCGTACATAAACTGAATAAATACACATGATCATAAATCTAGGACATAAAAATGCTGGTAAAATATGTCCGACTCTCATGACCACGCTGCGCCACATCTGTGCTCATCCGACACGCTCGACTCCGTCTCCTGAAAAACACAATGGGGGCGTGAGCAAACCACTATGCTCCGCAAAGACCAGTACTGAACAAAACAGCATCTATAATAACGTATCATGAAACATAAATATATAAGAGCTGAAACTGTAAACTGATCTCTGATGTCTGTTCTGATCTGTGGTCAAAAGACCCTCGGCCGTAGCCGCTCGTGTGCACACGCCGATGGGGTATGAAAGGGCCTCGCCCCTCCCAACGGTCATCAGGTGGGTATAAAGGCCTCGGCCACCCAACCCGGAACTAAACTGTCTCAAACATACCTCTGCCATGGTACAGATATTATCTATGATGTGACATCCAGTACATGACCCCCACCTGAAAACTTGAAATCTGGTATGCAAGTGCGGAAGCTGGAGTAGCGGTCGGAGGCTCGATTCTCCTTAGGCTACATAAATATTTAAGCAAAATAATGCTAAGTATAATGCTCAGAATATTTAATTATATGCTAAAATGCTCGGACTTATCTACGCGATTAACTGGACTGGACTGGACTGGCTCGGAAAAATACTGAAATTTCCGGAACTGGACTCGGATCAAAAATCACGAATCAAAACTGACTCGAACCGCCGGTCGAACCGGCCGGTTCGCTGGCTGGCCGGACCGCCGGCTCGACTGGGCCGGGCGGTCGGGCTGGGTTCGGCTAGACCGGGCTCGGTCCCGTGCCGGGCCAGCTGGTGCCCGGGCACGGCGCTGGGCACGGCTGGTGCGACCGGGCTCGGTCCCTGGTGCCGCTGGACTTGGCTAGGCGCGGACTGGCGCTGGTGGGCACGGCCAGGGGCTGCTGGCACGGCCCGGGCACGACTGGTGCCCCTCGGGTGCGCGCTGGGCACGGCCGAGGCTCGACTGAGGCGCTGTCGTGCGGCTGGGCACGGACAGGCACTGGCCAGACACTGCTGGCACGGGGAAGGCACGGACAGAGACCACACGGGCGCTGCCGGGTGTCCCCGAGGTCACTGGGCACTCGGGCATGCTGCTGGGGCATGCACCGAGGCCAACTGGGCTCAGCTGGCCCGGCTCGGGTCAGCCCTGGACTTGGCACGAGGCTCTGGCACGAGACCTCGTGCACTGGGGCTTGCACGGGCGCTGCCGGGCGCCGTGCGCATGGCTGGGCACGCTGGGTGCCATGGCCACGCGTGCTGGGGCTACTGGGGCTTATGCTTGGCACACGGGCACGCACTGGGCGCTGCGGGCGCTGTTGCGTGCACGCGGGCTGTGCCTCGCGCCTACCGGGCGCGGGCACTGGCTAAGGCTACCCTCTGCAGGCACGGACAGGCACTGGGGCCGGGCACTACCGCACTACATGCGCGGACAGTGACCAGGGCCGGCTCTTGCCGGACCTCCGGTGACTTTTCCGGTGACATTCATGACATAACAACTTTATATGATAAATGTGCTACAAAAATGCTAAGAAACACTAGTGGACCCCGGGTCCACTTGCATGTTCACTCGGTAGGGCTTATACGGCCCGTACGAGCACTTGACGTCCGAACGAACATTCATAACTTACAAAACTACTCAGGGCCGAATATTATACATCACAAATGATGACTATAATGGCTAACACTTAGGTCATAACATGCATGTATTGTACTAAGCCTCGGGAGTGAAAATTCACATAAAATCATAAGCATTTTGACTAAGGTAATGAACTCCAATTATATTCAAATTTGTACACCATCAATGGCATGATATTTAAAGGTGATTTAACAAACATTTTCAACTTAGGCATGCTTGCTACTCAATTTTCATTTTTAAGGTCATTTATTTCAAAAATTCGTAAATCACATATAATGACATGCATGGCTCGGTTTTTCTTCATGAAAAATCTTAAAATGTCATAAAATAATTTATGAACTCAAAAATCCCGAGCTTACCTCGGTTAGAAATGGAGAACTAGTGCTAGGGCTCGAAATGGCTTGGTACGGCTTTGAATGATTTATCTCGAGTTGGTGTGTGATTTGGCCGAGCCTCTTTAACTCTCAAGACTTAGAAAAATCTAAGGAATGATTAGATACTGCTAAGCCTCGAGAGAAAATGGCAGGAACACGGCCCGAAGCTTCCCCTTCCCGGGCTCGCGCGCGCTCGCGGTGGTGCGGTTGGCCTTCTCCTTAGCCTATCTCACTTTCCTCTTCAATTATGCCGAGGTATACAAGTCTTAGAATGTTAAGGGATGCAAGAACTATCACCAACTGAGATGGGAGGGTTTAAATAGGCTGATGGGGCGGAATTCACTAGGTGGGAGTGGGGAATCTCTCATTATTTTAAGTGTATGGACTTAGTGGTCTTGGGGCATGAATGCATGGTCAAAATCACGATTTTTGGGACACTTTAATAGTATTATAATGGGTCACAAGGGGTCTGGACAGAATGGAGCATGCATGGGGGACAAACTCTTACAAGGGTGAATAAAATATTCAAAGACCCATGCTCCACTTTGCAAGCTTAATGGAGTTGACTTAGCTTAATCTTTCTTAGGCCTAATTAAGCTTAACATAACCCTTATTAAGTCCCTAACATTCGCCACTAATGGTACATGAAAGAAGTGGGCCGGACCTCCTCCATTTGGGCTCAAAATGGTGGGCTGGCAGTGCTGCCGCTGGGCTGCTGGGGCGCGGCACTGGGCCTGGGCGCGAGGGGCTGCTGGGCTGCGCGGGGACGTGCTGGGCTGGCGCGGGTAGCGGGCTGCGCGCGGGAAAAAGGGCTGCTCGCGTGTGGTGGTCTTGGGCCGAGTCCTAAGGCACTCCAAGGGTCCAAGAACACTTAGAATTATTTCCAAACTTTTGCCAAGGCTTTGGCATGGCTTGGACAATGCTTAGAGGCCTTGGGCGCGGCTCGAGGCGCGATGGCGCGGCACGGGCGCGGGGGCTCAGGTAGGCTATTAGGGCTCGGTTTAAATGCTTCTCAAGGACCTTCCAACACTTAGAAAAATATTCTAAGTATTAAAATACCATTCTTGGCTATGACTTAGGAAAATATACTCGGACCAAAAACTAGGGTTCAGATCCGGTAAATTCTCGAAATGGCTAAATCTCACTTATCAGTCCAAATAAGTGGATTTATCTTGACTTATACTTGACTTAGAAAAATTCCAAAGAGTGATCTATCAAACTTGGAATTAATTTAGCATTTAGCATATAAAATAAAACTCAAAATTTCTGAAAATTACGGATTTCACTTATAGTCGAGCAGTGAAACCGTTCTAAATATTATTTCTGAACTGGGGCGCTACAGAATTTCGTCACAATACGTATTACTGTGACGAATTTAGATGTATTATAATGTATCGTCACAATAAATAATTATATAATGACAAATTTGTCGCAAGCGTCATTTTAAATAACATCAACAGTGACGATAGTTTGATTGTCACATTTAATTTCGTCACATTTTATATACATGTGACGAATTTAAATGTATATGTGACGAATTGAGTTGCATTGTCACGAAAAACTCCATTATGTGACGAAAAAAGAAGTCTAACATGACGAATATAGGAGTCGTCGTCGTATGCAATGGTGTAATGACGATTTATTAAATTCGTCACCGTAAGGCAACATACGGTGACGATTTATTTTTCGTCACTGTTCGACAGATTTCTTGTAGTGTACATGCCCCTCTCTCCCATCTCATACGCAAATAAAGTTCTCAACATAAGGGCTTTGTGGAAAGACGAGAGAAGCGGGAGAGAGAACATAAACACATGCACGGCTTGGGATCGGGATTGACAGACTGCAAGATCAGACATACAAGAAAACAGGGAAGGACTCATGGATTCTTGTAAGTTATTTATGTGCAATTTAATTTATGCAAAAGATCCATATTTTATGAATTGATAGAATTACATGCTTAGGGTTTATTCAATTCCGCCTAATAATTGTGAATATAGCCGTTAATTCTTACACTCTAAACTCTCTAGTTAATGGTTCTTTAGTATTTCTTGCTCTTTTGTTATGTCTTCTTTGTTGATTTGAGGTTGCTTTTCCTTAACTTGTGACTGGGTCTTCCGGGTTCAGTGGTCATATGTTTATTGCTAGTTGTTTTTAGTTCATCGGAGAATGTAGTTCAAGCATTCGGGTTCAGTACAATTGTGGCTGACGTTACCAAGAATGTCATTCGCCTTTTCTATTTCTTTTGTCTAGAGCACTTTGTAGGTATTTCTTTGTTTCTATCCCTTGTATAGGCTTGTAGGGTATTTAGCCCCGACTGTACTCTTTGATTTGGAGCTATAATATCTATCATTTCGAGAGAAAAAAAATGATGAATAATTATGTTTTGAAAATTCTACATTAGTATAGGGGGAGATAAGAACGAAAATCTGTACATTATATAATTTCAAAGTCTTAAGGTCGGCCTAAGAAAAGTTTAAATGTCAAAAGTTCCTATTGACCCGCAATCCCAATTACATAGGTGGTGTTGTTTCATACACGCAAGTATTCAAGAAAATCAGGCCATCTCTTATTCACCGAGTATCTATATATATGTGCGCATGCAACGTAATCAATGTACCAACATAAATAGCACTTTTTAATTACATTGATCATTACTTGATTACCATAGTAGATATGGCAGATTGTCCAGGCAAGTAACATTTTCCTCTATTAATTTCTTTATCAGCTTAGGCCGTTTCGTTTGATCTCTTTATCATTATTATTACAATCTCCATTAAACAGTGTTGCGATATGTACGAAAGATGATATACTCTTGGTCATGTTAGCATTTTTGTATCAATGTTTTTTGGGTTTTGTTAATGCTGTAGGTGTAGGCAAGAGTTCATGGCCGGAGTTAGTGGGGCAAAACGGTAATTTTGCTGAGGCAGTGATAGAGCGGGAGAACCCAAACGTGGACGCAATTGTGGTTTTAGATGGAAGTTATGGGACCACGGATTTCAGGTGTGATCGTGTACGTGTTCCTGTTAATCAATCGGGCATCGTGGTTCGTACTCCTACAATTGGTTAATTAAAATTTGAAGAATAAATATTATGAATATTTTAAATAAAAAGTGTGATCGTTTTCGGTGTTTTGTAATAAAATTTGTTACTGTATGATATGATTTGTGTGCTATACGTACTTCAATAAAATTTGCTACATGCAATGTCTTTTGGAATTTCTTTTTATAGTTTCATCTTTGGTTTTATAAACCAAATTATAGTTGGTAAACGAAACAAGTCATTTTTGAGTTCGCCTCGTTAAGGCTAGAGCTCATTTAACGAGTCGGACTCGGCTCGGCTCGGCTCGGAGAGACACATTATGCCTTAAAAAGAGATTTTTTTTATATATATGATAGTTCGGCTCGTTAATATTGATAAACTAATCGAGCTCGAGTGTGATTGTTGACTCATTTACTTAACGAGCAGAGTTCAACTCGACTAGTGAAGCGCTCGAGATTGAGCTCGAACTCGAGTACCATGAGCTTGATCTCGGTTCGGCTCGATTCATTTACAACCCTACTTCAAATGATCGTACTATGGATTGATATATAAATATTATGGTTCATTTAATCAATGTGTATCATTGTATGTTAGACATAGAATACTAATAATGAAGCATTGAAATAGAAAAATAAATTCTAGACTATGAACAAAATTAATATATGAACCTAGCAATTTTTTTTAATTATTTTCTATTTCTATCTCTATTGTGTTTTTCTTTCTTTTTTTGACTAACGGCATTGAGCATTTACAAGGTAATATCGTCATGCATAAATGCAGGCTTTTCGATCCTAATAATATCATGGGTCGATGCTTTTGTATCTCATATTTTCATAGGACAACATATGGGATGCATAAATTTAAATTGAGAAAATCAACATACAATTTTTTACTTCATCAAGTTTTCATATGTTCCCTTGAATAGTGTATTATTAATCTATATATATATATATATATAAAGGTTTGATTATTTTTTAAATAGTAACTATTTCTCTCCAAAAAAAAGTATTTACTATTTTGAAAAATTAATTTAATAATTTATGGTATATTTTAAATGATCACATATAGAAATTGCTGCTCATTATTTAATGAAGTAACTAGTGCGTGGCCCGTGCGATGCACGGGAAAACAATATTGCGATTGCATTATAAATTAAATGCATAAATAACATTAATCATGATTTATTCACTGTTTTTAAATTAAACCGGGTTGGACACAGTCCGACCGGATGCACCGAGAACCGGTTTATAATCACTCTAGTTCGCTTGAATAAAATATTTGCTATCGAATACATCAACACCAGTCGGTTGGACTGGTAGGATCGATACGATTTTCTAAATAAATTTTGTTACATTTAAAATTATTATAAATAAAATTACATATTTCAATAAAATAGAGATTTATAAATTATGTATCAATTAGTTAAGCCATTTGAATTTATAAATTGTTTAGATATTAACTAACACATTTTATTTAAATATATATATACATATATATATATATATCAAAATGTTTTATAAATTAAAATCTGAACAAACCATAAATGATTTAATAAAATAATTTGATCGTTTCGATGACATCACGGTTCTGAAAAGCTTATATTTACTGTACATTAATAAACATTATTTAAAATATTATTTAATTCACTTAAATATTAATAAAATAATATATAAATATTCGTAAATCATTAAACATGTTGTCATAAAAGTATTGTTAATACGATTATTTGAAGTTTGGACTACATCACATTCACATAATAAAATAATTTCAATATTAAAATTTATATTTAGGTTCAATACTCGATTTGGTCTGTTCAAACTGATACATAACTTAGTCACTTGGGACCAACAAAGTTGTGTCAAGTTTTTTGACTATTTTAAATATCACCTAAAAGTAATTCAATCAACTTGGGCAGTACCCTAATTCAATCACCCGATTCATCCAAAGAAATTTTCTTGTTTTCTTTAAATATATTTAATTTTATGAAATAAAAACATTTTATGATTCATATAATAAATGTCTACACCAAACGATAGTATATTAAGATTATAAATTATATATCTAAAGATGCATTAGTTATTTTTACTTTATGCATATTAATAAAAATAAACATAGTAATTTAAATAAAAGATAAAAACATGCACACTTAATAGATTTTAGCCGAATTTTTTAAATAATAAAATGAACTAATTTCCGAAACTTAAGGTAGCATTTAATGTTGAATGATTTACAAAGAAAAAAATAAGAAAAATAATAAAACTTAATATCTATAGGCTGCATTAAATTCTTACCTATTTTTTTGCTACTATTTTTGGTAAATGGTTATATATATATATATATATATATATATATATATTAAGACATATTTTATGATACCTTAATTACTCAAATAATGTGAATTAATTAATATATGGTATATAGTGGATGAATTTATTTTTGGTATTGATGGTTGTTTCTATGGAAAATATTTTAATCAATATATAATATAAAGTGAGCAAATTTATTTAGGTTATTTTATAACTTTTATTTGTAGGAAATTTGGTGAAAAATTAATCAATATATGACCTGATATTTTGATATAATGTGCGTGTATCTATATTTTTTTTATAGAAAAAGCTCTTATCAAATTTTTTGTTACAACATTTCAAATAATTTTTATTTGAAATGCACTGTTCACTTTTTTAGCATGATAAAGAGTGTCGATTTTTTTGGCATAAAAAATCTTATAACTGATTGTTTTTACGCAACTACTTAAATTTTTTTATTTAGATATTTTATACAAAAATAAATTCATTTTTAATTAATTAAACAATATAAGTTTTATGATAAAATTTTACCAAAATAATTACTTTATGTAATCAGGTTATAACCAAATCGAATTTGTGAATAAAATAATTGTAATGACACATATTTTGAAATGAATATAAACTAATTTATTATCAGTTATGTGCAACGCACGGGATGCGTAGTAATTTTAAATAGACATTTTTAAGTAATTTTGCACAATTTAAATTTGATATAACATTTTCAATAAATTATATAGGTACATTGTATTACACGTTGATTCCATGTTTCTAATTTATAAATATTATTTAATGATAATTTTTAATTTATAAATATTAATTAATATCTCTTACTCGTGCACCGCACGGGATTCAAATTAGTATATATAAAAAGGTTTGATTATTTTTTAAATAATAACTTTTTCCTCAAAAAAAAATCTATTTACTATTTTAGGAAAATAATTTAACAATTTATGGTATATTTCAAATAATCACTTATGGAAATTGCAGCTCATTATTTAAGGAAATGATATAAGCCATAAAAAAATTATTTTTAACATACCTTAATTACTCAAATCATGTGAATTTAGCTGATTTACCTAAATATGGGAATTTTGCCTGCAATATCAATTATGTGATTTGGTAGAAATCTTCCAACTAAATTGTGTAATTAATTATTTAATAAGTGTTTTATATTTTTCATGTAATTTTTTTGTGATATGTATTTTTAATATACCTTAATTACGCAAATTGTGTAAATACGAATGATTTACTCAATCTTCAAATAATTACTAGAATTATGAAAATATCAACTGAAATAATCAATTATGCGATTTGCAAAAAACTATTCTAAAACAATTGTGTTAATGACAGTTTTTAATTAAATATTATTTAATAATTTTTATTTATTTTTTGTGGATTTAATTACTCAATTGTGGATAATTACAGAAATAATTAGACCATAAAGTTTTACATTTTTAAGATACCCTAATTACACAGTTGAGTAAATTTGGTTGATTTATTCAATCATAATTTTTTCATAAAATTATTCTAAAATAATTGTATTAATGGCAGTTTCTATTTAATTATTTTTAATAACTATTTTTTGGGTATTTTTTATTTTTATCTATAAATAACGCGCATCTCGATTTTGTTTTGTACGCTGGGCATGTAAGTTTGGGGTAAAACTGAATATCATTTTTTGTATTTTATCGATAAAGTATGAAATCGAATTATTTGGTATACTATATATTGATCCAATCTACCTGCTTATGCTAAAAAATGGTATCTCAATATATTTTTTTTATATATATTGCTAAGCATTTTACTCGATACTAATGAAAGAAAAATCTGAAAAATACCATAGTTTGTAAATGTGAGTGGAACATATCAAATTATTTCGTATATAAATATATATAAAGGTTTGTATTTACTTAAATCACATTGTGGTCAAATCGAAATTTCTGAATAAAAATTTTACAATGACACCTGTTTCGAAATGAATATAATGTAATTTATTATTAGTTATTTGCACCATACGAGTCGTGTACCAATTTTAAATAGACATATTTAATGTAATTTTGCACAATTTATATTTCATATAACACTTTCAACAAATTAATATAGGTAAGTTGTATTAAATATTGATTCCATATTTTTAATTTATTATTATTATTTAATGAACACTAGTGCGTAGCCCGTGCGATGTACGGGTAAACAATATGACTTTCATAGCATGTAAAATTGTATTATCACACGTGCATAATAAAATCTACATCTTAAGTTCATATTTTATGTTTTTTAATGGAATAAAATCCTTCATTTTAGGGATCATATGTATTTAATCTGTCCAAATTTATCTACATATCGGCAGTTTAAATTTTGAATTTGAAGATAACCCGAATCTATGATTACAAAATATCGTTTATTAATTAAATCAGCCGCAACTTTACGATTTGGTATTTTGAAATTTAGAAAAAATAAAATAAAATCATTAATTTAGGGAATATATGTGATAAATCTATCGAAATCTTGTATATATCACGTTTTACAATTAAAGCAATTTAAATATGGAAATTAAGATATTTTGAATCTCTGATTTAAAACAAATACCATAAAAATTTGATTTGGTATTTTGAAATTTAAAAAAAAAAAAATATGTGATAAATCTATCTAAATCTTGTATACATCACATTTTACAATTAAAGCAATTTAAATGTGGAGATTATTCTTATTTTTGAATCTCTGATTTAAACAAAGACTATAAAAATTTTGGTCGTTTCAAAATTAGACCCTTGTATTATTTTTCATTATAAATAATTGTCAAACAAAACAATTGAATCAGCCGCAACTTTATTCTTTTAATTGAAATTGCCCGATTTGATGGTTAGAAAAAATGTTTTCAAAAGAAATAAACTAATGATTTTTTTATATATATTTTAACCCTTAAATTAGCCGTAATTTTTTTTAAATAACATCTGCTAATCAAAAATATGTATTAGCCGATTTATAGAAAAAAAAGTTTCCGATATTTTGAAAATACAAAAGAATATTTTTAAGATTAGAAAAATTAACACATAATTTTTTTAATTATTAAATCAGTCGTAAATTTTTTATTAAAAAACAACTGCCAAGCAAAGCAATTGTATTAACCGAATATCTGGTTTTAAATTTGGAGAATATAATTGGCCGATATTTAATTGAATTAGCAGTCGTAACGTACATTTTTATTCAAAATTAAAAATAGCTTCTTGTAACCAATAACCAAATTTAATTAATATAGCCCGTGCAATATCAGCTTTTGATATGCACATTGTGTCAAACCATCGCAAATATTCAATAGACCAAATTTAAATAGCAGCCAACTTTTTTGAAAATAAAAAAGTATCAAACTCCTCATTTTAAGGATAACATTTAATGCTGTCCGTTTTTTATTTAAAAAAAATATTAAAAAGATACTATAAATGGTATGTAATTAATATTGATCAATTTTGATCAATGATTGACTTACTATTTTTTATAAATGGTAATTCTTATTATATATATATATATAGATTTTTAATTTATAAATATTAAAGAATATTTCGTACCCGTGCATCACACGGGATTCGTACTAGCTATATATAAAGAGAGAACCTATTTATCAAAAAGAGTAACAAAAAAAATCAACCGACATTTACTACATTCTATTTTTGGCAGTTTTTGAATTTTCTTTTTAAACTATTCCCAACAAATTGATCAACTATATATGTTGCATCTAAATTCATGGGCTTTGTGGATTTAATTTAAGTAAATTTCGGCCGATGCTTACAATTTTGCAAAAGTCAAATTTTTTTCTTAGCTTTTATTAAAAAAAAAAATAATTACCATAAAATCGAGAATTTCGAATTACGAAAACTATGCAATAGATCAATTGTTTATTAAAAAAAATAAGATCGCATAGAAATCGGGTTAATTCGACATGACAATTTGGTAAAAGTCAAAATTTTCTCAATTTTATTAAAAAAAAAAATATGTTTGTTATAAAATCGGGAATTTCGAATTAGACAAATACTATAACGCGTATCTTTACCTAATTGAAACATATCATATTTTATTAAAAAAATCGGATTACATAGAAATCGGGCCCAATTTCAAATTGAAAATTAAATTAAAAATCCCTTATCATTTGGATACTACTTTCTTTAGTTCGGATCTTTTTTAAATATAAAACAGAGTCAAATAATATTAATTTGAAATTCAAAATAAAATCGAATTGCAACATCCTAAAAACTTGGAGTTTGTTTAATCCTCTAGAATCCAAATTTGAAATTGATTGCATACACTTACACAATTTTTTCCTTCCTTAAATTAAGTAAATTACAATTTTAAAATAATAAGGCTATAGATTATCAAGAAAGGCGTTTTACAATCTTCATAAAACCAATATAAATCATATCATATATATCCTGCTAAATAATTTATTTCATTTATTTAAGCCTATCTAGAATCTTAATATAATTTGTGGCGATAGACGATGTACCAAAAGACCAAACAAATAATGTTGTATACAAGGATATGTTTAATAATATATAAGTTACATTTTCTTTTTATTCCAATACATGTGTTTTATGTTTTCCAATCATCTAAATCTATATGTTTATCTTAATAAAACTAGCCCGCGACACTAGCTTTATTTGAAATGACATATGTGACATGAGAGCACTAATATTTTTTAATTATATTATTTTAACACTCGGTGCATTGCACAAGCTCTAATAAACGATAATTTATTTAATGCATATATTTAATATTGCAACTCAAACGGGTGTATACTAGTATCTTTTCATAGTATAAGCTCGAGTGGTACTGAATTGTATTGATAAATGATGTTATATGATTTGAGTTAAAAAAGTTACTATGTTTTTATTAAACTCGTGTAACACACTTGTAAATAATATGATTATGAATTATCATTTGTAACTCGTGTATAATATATGGGTGTCATTCCAAATAAAACTTATAGTATGGTATTTGAAGAAACATTCAAAATTTTGAAACAAAATTCATTTATATTTATTTCTTAATTCAATAGCCTATAATATACAAAAGTTATACTAACTCTAGTTAATTAAATAGGAGGACTCGTGAATTCAGATATTTTTTCATTAAATTTAAAAAGTTTAATTGGATATCGATGTTTTATGTCGACCATTGAGGTTTATTATAATTTCAACATAAGCCCTTCCACGATTTGGATTAAAATCGAAAAGTAACAATTTTGCTATGGCACGGCTTGTGGAGCCAAATAATGAGAATCAATTTAAGTCCAAGCAATAAAGGAAATTTTTTCGAGTGAATAGTGACTAGTCATAATATAAATGTTTTTGGTAAATTTNAGGTATGAAATGAGATATTCAGACCAAAATAGTTCATGAACGATCATTTCGTATTATATTCACAAACATTTATTTCAAGATTTTATATATAATATAAAAGCCGAGCCAAGTTTTCACGAACTTTAAACGAGCCGAGTATTTGACTCTTTTGTTAAACAAGTGCTGAGATCAACCACGAATTACTTGGTTTGGCTCAAATAACACCACGAACTACTGGTCAAATGACATTTCATATTCATATACCCACTCATGCTTTCATTCAAATGTAAAGTCAGATCAGCCCCAAGTTTGGAAGGTCCAGCCCAATACAACACTTAATCAACAATTTCAACTGCCACCTAACAACAACAGTTTCACACTCCACGGCCAACCCTCTCAAAACTTCACACTTCACATGACAACAGAAATGATGAGGATGAGATGCAATCCACATTAAAGCTTTTAAATGCCAATTTCCAGCAGATTTTATATAAATTGCATCCATACAACAGAGCAGAAATAAATTTACAAAAACAGAATGTCAAAATTATTCTTCATCTTCAATCTTCTCATTCATGCCTCAACTGTCCTAATGTGGCTCTATCAAGGGTGCCTCAGAGTCTCAAGTCTCGACTTTAATAGGCAAAGTCACCGTCACAAAGACCACATCGGAATCAAATTCTCACATGTTTACCTTATAAGAGAAATGCAATCATACACAAGGGGATATGTTATAAGTTATCATTATTAAAAAAACATCTAGATCAAGACTGCATATGGCCAAAAGACCATTCATTAAGAAAGAGAAAACATGTATGGAGTCTGTAGAAAATACTGCTCAACTGATTTACTGTGGGAGAAACAAAAAATAGCTATTACATTGAGTATGCATTCCCGAGTATGTAGTGAAAAAAAAAAAAAAAATATTTGTAAGCAAAATTCTCCCCATTATAAGAATCGGACTAAATTATGCAAAATTTAAGCCACAACTTCATTTGAAAGCTAATATCTATGCTCTTTTTTCTATTTTTCTTTTCTTTGGCCAGCACTAGCTGAACAACCATCATTTTCTATTTTAATTTTAGCAACTACAAGCACTCCCATATGGCTATATGAATTGTGAAGCCACTGAATCAAGAAGCCAATAAAAAAAGATGTTTCTCTTCGACAATACCTATACATTGTTACAGCGCAAGCAAGCCCTTTCATCCATCAACAAAATTCCAGCCTACAATTTTGGCTTGATATACTTTCTTGAGTACCCGTTGTAATCCATATGATGAATCTTTTATCCAGAACTATTCGTTCTAAGGACTGGCACCCAAAAACCAAGATTTCAAGATCATCATCCATTATCGCGAATTCATAATTCGTCCACACAAGCTCCCTCAAACAGGCATGGCCCGCAAAAGCCCGAACAGCGCATGATGTAACCATCTCACAGCCCGATATATCAAGCACCTCCATATTCTGGCAGCCTTTAGCCAAAGCTCTCACACCCACACTCGACACACTCACCAACCAAGAAAGATTCAATACCTTCAAACTAGAAAATGTAGCCAAAATACTCATACCCACATCAGTCACATTCGGCCCGCACTCAGAAAGGTTGAGTTCCTCCAAACAAACCATACCCTTCAAGCACATCAAGCCTTCATCTGTTATCCGGTCACACTCGGCAAGAATCAGTTTTTTCAGTGTTCCACACAAAGAGCCTTCTCCCAAGGAAGCCAAACCAGAGTCCGTTATCAACCAACACCCCTGCAGACTCAATGCCTCCAGATGCTTCAAATCCCCAATTCGCTTGATACCCTCATCGGAAACCCTAGAGCATAACCCTAAATCAAGGCTCCTCAAATTCTTCGAGTACCCTAATAGGGCAGAGATACCTGAATCCCCAATCGCGATTCTCTTCCTCAGGAAAACCGTTTCCAGATCGCGGCACCGACTAGCGATGCCGAGAAGGCCTTCGTCGTCGAGGTCGGCTTCTTCCTCGAGCTCGGTGTACAGATCGTCTGTTTCCTTGCGGTTGAGGTTGAGGACTTGAATTCTAGGGCACGTGGTCGCGACGAACTGGATGAGGGAGCTGTTGATCCGCGTCGAAGCCCGGAACTTGAGCAAGTTGGGGAATCTGGGTAGGAAATTAGGGATGAGGTCGGCGTCCAAAACTCGCAGGGATGGGCGGTGGAGACCTTCGACTCTGAACCAACTTTTGCAGACTTGGGAAAATGATTTCCGATCAATTGGGTCTTTAATTTTGTCGAGAATCAGGGAGAGCAATTCGTCTAGCAGCCTTTCCATAATACGCACGCTTCCCCTTTTTTTCTCTCCGTTCTTTTTCTAAGTTTTTTTTAATCGAAATGGCTTTATTTTTTAAAAATTTTAAAGACTTGTGAATACTTCATTTGGTGTCTATTTATTTAAACTTTTTAAAGTTTTTCAACTCGAGACTTTTAAAAGCCTTGATCTATTAATTTGACATTTTAAAAAGTTTTACAAAATTTTGTAATATTTAATTTATTTAATGATTTGTTATGACTTTTTAAATGTGTTGGGATTTTAAAATAAAAAATCATATATAAAATCTCACTCCAAATCTCACTTCTAAACTTAAGAAAGGTGTATTAGTTTGAGATTTTAAGTGACATTTTGAGATTTTTTGAGAATTAGAACTTTTTCAAGAGTTTTAGATTTTGGAGGAATAATTCGTCTAGCAGCCTTTCCATCATACGCACACATCCCTTCTTTTTTTCTCTGTTTTCATTTTCTCACTTTTTTTTAATCGAAATGGATTTATTTCTTAAAAATTTTAAAGACATTTTAATACTTCATTTCATGTGTATAATAATTTAAATTTTTTCAAGACTTTTAAAAGCCTTCATCTATTAATTTGAGATTTTAAAAGTCTTAATTTTAAAATAAAAACACATATATGAAATCTAACATCTAAATTTGACAGAGGTGTATTAGTTTGAAATTTCAATTGACATTTTTAGACTTTTTGAAAATTGAGACTTTTTAAAAGTTTTAGATTTTGGAGGAATCCTATAAACTCTTAAGTCTTATGGTGAGATTTGAAATGGAATTTCATATATTTTTTTCTATTTAAATCCCAGCATATCTTAAAAAGTTTTAATAAAATCTAGTTTCAAATAAGTTGAATAACTCAAAATTTTATAAGACTATTTAAAATCTCAAGAATACCTCAAGACTTTTAAAAGTCTTAAAAAATTTAAATTAAATACATTAAGATTTCTAAAGTATTAAAGTCTTTATAAAATCCCAAACGAATATACTTCCTAAGAATTTACGGAATTTCTCTAAAATCTGAAAATCTTAAAAAGCCTTAAATCTCAAAAATTCTCAAAATGTCATTCAAAATCTCAAATGAATCCACCCCGAAAAAGTAATATCAGGATTATCAGAGCTGGCATACTCTAAAATCTTGAAGCATGGTCATTTCGTACAAAATTGACAAATTTACCGTTGCATAAAAGGGGTTATACACAAAGTAAAAAACGCCCCCTCATTTCCTTTCAATTATCTCANAAAAAAAAAAAAAAAAAAAGGACTCGCCGCCCCGAGTTTTGCGAGAGACATGGTCGGAGCTAGGTGTTAGGTATGCTGTAAAAGCTTGGCTTTCAAATTCTAGCAATTCCATTTTGATCTAGCAATCATGTTTTTAGTCAAAGTACATATGCTTGCAGCTTACTTATTTATGCAATCATACTTCTTTTCTTACATTGAGAAAGTATGTTTCGTGGTGTCTCGAACAAAAAGATCATCTATCGGTTCCTTGTAAGTCTAAATTATTAGTTCACAGTCTAGAGAGACATTGAGACCCCACTTGGAAAAAGACTGTAGCGTAATCCGGATTCAGTTTGTTTTTGAGTGAAGGTTTGCACTAGTACTTATGATAAGTATTGAACAGGACCACGAAAGGATAAGATTATGAGACTCACTGATCGTAGTTGTAATCTAGACCTTCAGTAATTGATGCGTTCTCTAAAGCCGTAAGATAATATAAAACGGGCATATATATTCATTACTTGTCTATTTGATTTACTAAGGGTGATTTCTATTCTGCTAGGATGACATACTCAGAACTTTGGTAAATAAGGTTGTTTATACGATGTGCTGTTATAAATAATTTGTCACCATGTCCCAGTGTGCTGAGTTGATGAAGTCCCCGAAATGAGCTCAGTAAGGAATATTATGTCAAACCCTGCAGGTGGAGATGTATCTGACATAATTGTTAAAGATCTAAGTGATACTAGTTTCAAAATTGAATAATAAGTTGATTAATTATTTTTATCAATAATTTAATTAATCAACGGAAGTTATATCTTAAACATAGAGAGGTAAATCGATCAATTAGATTAATATTAATTAATCAAGTGGAGGTTGGAATTTATTGAATAAATTAGAGCTAAATGGGGAGAGCAATAATATTATCCTAGTGGAATGTTTTACTATTTAATTCTATATAGGAATTAAGAATTAATTATATTCTATAATTTAGATTCCCTAAGGAGAGGAATATTCTTTCTAGAATATTACCTAGGGTTAGGAGACTATGGAGTCTTCTAGATGGTAATTATGGTTAGGAGGAATATGTATCCTTGATGGGAAAGGAGATAGAAGATAATTCAGATTCCTAACCCTAATAGGATAACCCCATATTTAGCACTTTTTTAAGGTCCTTAATGTAGCCTATAAATACACCATGTCCCGACATCTTGCCCTACACTTATGTTGAGTCGATTTTAAGGTCTTTATAAGAGAGGAAAATCGAGTATCATAAAATATACAAGAGTTTGGGAGTTTCGATTAATCGCCCACCGAGATTTTTTGAATTAGGTGTTTAGGTAATACATTAGAAGGCTTTAAGGTACAATATTTATCGAGCCTTTTATATACATTAAATACGGCAATCATAGCTACCGCCCCAGTCGTCGGAATCTGTCAGTCGTCGCCGTCGACCGNCTCAGCCTCACCTGTCTGCTCGCGCATGCCGTCGCCCGTGTTCATCGCGCGCCCTACCTGCTTGCTACACACGGCCGCCGACTGAGTTCATCGCGCGCCTAGTCCTCGTAGGCATAGAAAATACACCGCACGCGCTCGACGTCCACAACACTTGCAGCACGCATTCCCGTTAGTCGATGCGCACGCCAGACGAGCCCTACCAGCACCCGACATGCCCAACCCGCAAGCCTTGACCCGCAGCAGCCCACCGACGTCCAATCGGTCCGAGCCTGACATGCCAAGTCCCCAGCGACCCGTTCGTGTCCCGACGACCCGAATATGACTGAGGAGGCCTAGTCCAGCTGCCCAACGGACTCTGCGATTTTGAGAATCTCCTACAGAGGAAATCAGAAACGTCTCGGAGTCGGCAAAAATTTTAAACAGTAATGTCCTATCCTAACTATAGATTCTGGTGCATTAGGATTTATTTCGATAAATTCAAATGTGCACATCGTTGACGTTCCTAATAGAACCCAACAGCTTCTGGTTGCCATGGCAGTTTGTAGTGGGTGGCTGTCGACTCGCCAGTGGGTTGCTGGAGGGTGTGGCTGCGGGTCTGTGGCTGAGGCCTCATCTTCCTAGATCTGGTCGCCCCTGAGGTTGGAGCACGAATTCTCGCGGGCAGTGGTCGGCATTTGTGCTGTGACTAGGGCTGCAAACGAGTCGAACGGCTCACGAGCCGCTCGCGAGCCCTCGAGTCAAAGCTTGAGTCGAGCTCGAGTTTGACCGAACTCGAGCCTATATTTTGCATTGTCGAGCGGCTTGATATATATATTAGATTACTTAAATACCATTATATATATGTTTAAATGGTATAACACAAGTGCTTAATGGTAATTTCATTAAAAAAATTTCGAGCCACACTCGAGTCGAGCTCGAGCTATTGTATTTTCTTATCTAGTCGAGCTCGAGCATCATAAATCGAGCTCGACAAGCTCGAGCTCGAGCTCGAGCAGCTAAAGAAAAATTAAATCCTGCTCGATAAGGCCAATGCTTGACTCGGCTCGGCTTGTTTACAGTCCTAACTGTGACCACCGGCGGTTGTGGTGGGGTGGGCGGCGATTTTCGTCTCCAGGGACTCTCTGTGGTGGGGAACCATTATGGACTTCTTGGGTCTGTTGGTCAGGATTGGGTTATCCCTTTAGGGGATTTTTCGATCACGTGTTAAGCCATGGGTCGTGTAGTTTGTCTTGTTTTGGTTGCTTGCCTTAGTGTCGGCTCGAGTTGTGATGGTTTGGGGTCCTTTTCAGTTGGTGGAGAGGGTTTTAGTTTAGTAATTTTATTTATTTTTTTATTTTTTTTTTCTGTGTTTTACTTCTTTTCTCTCTTGTTGAGAGCATCTGTAGTCTCCACTTGATGTAGATAAGCAATATCTTATTGAAAGTTATTAGTTTCTAGGCGTGAGTCTGTACTTCCATTAGATTCGACTCTATAGCTGTTTCAATAAGCTGTTTGGCTGCATTCTAGATGTTCGGTTTATCCTTTCAGTAAATTCGCTCTCTATAGCTGCTTCAGCTTGGGCGCTAGATGTACATACGTGGTTTACCTATATAAAAAGTTTATATAGTTAGATTTATTTCCTTCAAACTTTAATTTAATTTTTTTTTTCGAACAGTATATATAGAGTAGATATTTTCCTTTAATAAAGGACAGCAATAGGCATTCTTTAAATTAAGGGGAAATAAATTTCAAAAGAAAACAAAAGGAAATAAATATATCTTAACCCTCGCCAGCTCGCCGTTGCTTTCGTCTTACTTCTCTGCTGACCCACCTTCTTCCTAAATTCTCTCTCTAGACTCACAGAAACTACAATGGCGTCTCTCTTCCGAGACCGATCCATCGGCCACTCCAGGAGAGACTCATTCTCTTCATTATCCTCTACAACGGCCGCCGCAGCCGCCGCATCTCCTTCTTGCGCCACCTCCCGCTTCAACCCCGCCGCCTCCCTGACACCGCTGCCGTCCCCGTTCGGAGACCTCACCCCGACACTCTCCGATTCCGATCTCCGAGCTTCGGCCTATGAGATCTTCCTCTCCGCCAACCGCTCGTCCTCATCCAAGCCCCTAAACTACATTTCCAGTAACAATCACACTAGTTCACCTAACAACATTACCGGTACCAACGGAAATCCTGCTGCTGCCTCTATGCAGAGGTCGTTGACCTCAGCGGCAGCGTCGAAAATGAAGAAGGCCCTGGGGATGAGATCCACCAGTTCTAAACGGAGTTCAGATTCGAATAATTCGGGCGGCGCCGGGAAAATGAAGAGGCCAGCGACT